GATAGTCATCATATGGATCATCTTCTATCTCGTGAGCACTTCCCGGTGCCCAGATGCCATCCTCTGCAAAGACTCCCACGCAGGGCCTGTCTGGCTGAGAGGTAGGAGCCCTCAGTGGGGCTGGGGCTGGAGATGAGATGCAGGATGAACAGTTCACATGCACATTAGTTGTTATAAAATGGAAAATGGCATCTATCTAGGGCCCACATAACGTCCTTCCTTCCCTAAACATCACGCACTACCTCAGAAGGTTTGTTCCTAGTCCCTCCACTGGCATCACTGCAAGATCCATAAAGGCTCTTAGTTCTTTACAACACCAGGTTCCTCCCCTACCTTGCCATTTTCCCTTCCAAAAAACCATTAGCCCTGTTCAGAGCAGACAGTTGAGCTAGACGACTTTCAAAAGTTCCTTCCAGCCTAAATTATAGTACGATTCTACTAGCACCAAGAAAATTTGGGTGTTGGGAGAGGAAGAACTAGCGTAGAAACAAAGCCTCTCTATGGCAATAGTTCTTTTTCCTGTCATCTGTCTGTACTAGCCTACATGTGCATACCTCTAACTGCAGATATTTTGTTTCCTCAACAGGAGGCCTAATTCTATTTGCCGTTTTCAGCCTTGTCATGGATGTGTTCAAAATAGGATATTACTCCAGCTTCTACAGCTGCCTGTCTGCTATCAAAATCATCTACCCCATTGTGCAAGCAATATTCGTGATCATTCAGGTGAGATGGCTGCGCTCTGTCTTGGGGAGGGGCAGAGAGACAGGGGAAGAAGCTCTGGTCTCATGGACCACTCAACTCACCCTGCAACAAATGCAAGTGGAAAAAACATTCCTCCGGCTGATCACAACGTCCAGCTGTGCAAACCTGCCTTAAGACATGAGTTCAAACTTGTTCCCATCCTACGACATTTTAATTTATACCAGAATGGCCTGCCCCAAACTCTGATCCAGCCAGCCAGGTCTCCTTTCCCATGAGAAAAGGAGCCAGGGAAGGGGACAGGCAGGGCAAGGCAGGTGACCTTCTGTGTAGGCAGTCCCTATACAGGGAGCCACCAGCTCTGGGCCGATATCAAAGAGGTCAGATAGGGACAGGTTAAATAGGAACAAGGACCTGGCATGGGTGGAGCAATGCCAGCAGGACTGGGCAGAAGGAGCACAGAACAGAACACGCCTGGCAGACCAAATGGCCAGGGTTATGGGCTAACAGGCTAGACCCTAGTGAAAGACTCCAGCTTGCTCTCTGCTGAGCAAGGAGATCCCTGCCTCAGAGTGGCGGGCTTTGCTTTCTTCTTTGCTTGAAATAACAATTTCTTATCTTGTTCCTGCCAGACGTACTTCCTGTGGGTCTCTGCCAAAGATTGCATCCACGTACACCTGAACATTACCAGGTGAGTACTGCACTTTGAATCCCACTGGCCTGGAAGGACTGGGCCACTGCAAACCTGCTGCACTCTTTCAGACAACTGAGATGCAATAGGGGCATAATCTCATCTCTCTTAGTACCGGCCAAAACTGAAGACTGCTGAGTCTCCAGCAAGTCTTAGATCTCAGCTCAAGCACCTGAGGATCTAGCAAGGCTGGGATCCAACTCAAGAACACAAACGTTGTTCAAGTAGGCTTGTATTAAATAAAATGATTCATAGATGACCTCCTTTCATGGGAAAGACAGGGATGCAGCAGGCAAGTATCAGGCTAAATGAACAAGAAATAAGATCTCAGCCACTTTTGCGAGACTGGATCCACCGGAGACTGACTGGGACCTATTACTCTATTCCCTTTGAGAGACTCGTTGAAAAACAACAAGAGGGTTCAGGCCTAATTCTCATTATGTAATGTAATGTAATTCTCTTAAGGTGGACAAAGAGTAGGAAGAGAGTAAGAGAGGCCAGAGAGAGCAGCAAAACCAGAGTCAGGATTTCTAGCCTTAACCACTACACAGTCCTCACACCACTTCAGGCAGCTCCGACAGTCTCTCTGAATACGTGCACATCTATAACATGGATGGAAGCAACATGGCTGAGAGCCATTGCCTTGATCTTACGACCTTCCCCTTTTTCTGCAGGTGCGGCTTGATGCTGACACTGACCACAAACTTAGCAGTGTGGATGTCGGCAGTGACGGACGAGTCTGTTCACAAAGCGCATTCAAAGCTGAAGAAAAATGTGACAGAAGAAATCTTTAAATGGCTCATGAAAGGTAATCTGTCCATTTGCGAAGCCATCTGATCCTGGAATGGAGACCACGGGGTAAAAGTTTTTCTGCAAGACAGGTTTTATCCCTTTTCAGAAGGCTTATCTAGAATAGAAGGGCCTTTTAACACAGCTGATACATTAAAAGCCAGATTTTAATGCTCACTTCCTAACCTGCATCACAGAGGAGTCAGGAAGGGGAACGGGCCTATTAAAAGGGGACAAGAATGAAGAAAGGAAAGGAAAAGAGAGCTTCACCTGCCATCTATCTAACAGAGACAAGCCTTCTTTAGAAGGAACATGAGCGCCAGAAAGCTGAGGTTGAAGTGTCCTGGTTCTCAAAGTGCTCCTGTATCCTTCCTACTGAGTCTTGTTTTTCATTGATCTTAACTATCTAGTTCTTCAGGGCTGCTAACAAATGCTGATTCCTTGCTTTAATACTACTGCAAATATATTTTTCCCCTGTTCCAGCGGGAATGAGAAGTGGCTCAACTGAAGAATGTAACTGCAACAGCCAGATCTGCCAGATCTTCAAGAACGGCTATTTTTGGCTGTACCCCTTTAACATTGAGTACAGTCTCTTTGCCTCTGCCATGGTTTATGTCATGTGGAAGAATGTTGGACGCTTTATAGACCACCACTCTCACCACATTCACCACCTGAAGTTCAAGCTCTTTCGAAGGACCTTCTTTGTAGGCATCGTGTTGGGCCTCATCATCTTGGTGAGTGGTTTGGGAGTCCTTATTGTTTATGAGGTGTGGGTAAATTCCAGCAATGAATCCAGCAAGAAGAATGAAGCACTTACCATGTATTACATCTTCAACATTGTTTGTCTGGGCCTCATGTCTCTTGTCTGCGTTGGTGGCTCTGTCATCTACCGCTTTGATAAGAGAGACATGGATCGCCACAAGAACCCAACCAGGACCCTGGACGTGGCCCTGCTGATGGGTGCTGCCTTGGGGCAGTATGCTATTTCTTACTACTCCATTGTGGCCATTGTGGCCAGCACACCGAGGGACGCTATCAGTGCGCTCAACCTCACCTACGCCCTCCTGATGATTGCCCAGCACACCTTCCAAAATATTTTCATTATTGAAGGCCTTCATCGGCAGCCCCCCAAGGAAGGCCACAAACATGATCCGCACCAAAAGGATCCCTATGGACTCACCTTTGTTAACATCAATGCAGTGTCCCTCCGCGTACCTGACAGTGGCAGCACCTTGGCACCCAACACTGTCTCCAGCATTGAAGGCATCCACCCTTCTGAGCTTGTGCAGTCCCTCACAGGCCCCAAGAAGATGAACTGGAGGAGGAAGTTCTTAAGGGAGATCTCCATGTTCCTCCTGCTGAGCAATATCATAGTGAGTAGATGTGGAGAGAAAAGTTTCTTAGGGTGGGGGCAGAAGGAAGCAAACTCAAGGGAGAAGTATCTGTGAAGGAAAGGATGTGGCCCATGCAAAAACAGTCCTTTTTCTGGCTCTGCTATACAGGGTGCAGACTTATTTATACTGTATGTGCAGACAGGCCCGATTCCCTTATCACTTACAAGCAAGAGAGACTGCCCTGGAGCTAAAGATATTTTAGGCTGTGCTCACAGGGGCTGTCAGTTATCACTGGAATATCAGACAATAAAATTGGCAGGTAAAAAATAGAATCAGTTTCAGCATTTTTATTGGGTATTACCAGAAACGTAGAATAGCTTATTAAAAGGAATAAAATACATAAAGTCCTCCTCTTACATTCCCAAAAAAGGCTGTCAAGCGACAGACAAATACCTAGAGTGAAATCTGTGTTTTCTTGAAAAACGACAGCACGATTCCTCTCAAGTCCCACAGCCTAGGAGCCCAAAACCAGGTTGCAGAGTCTCCCCTCTTCTCAGTTGCTGCAAGGAGAAACTGGTCACTGCCAGCTTCAGTGGGAGTTTCTATTTCATGAGCAGCCAGGGGACCACCAGAGGGAGGATGCAGTTCCCTACCCTACGCGTCTCTCGGTAGCTGTGATTACAGGTGCTCACTAAGCCACACACACCTTTCTCATTGCAATGTTATTTTCACTTATCCTAAAACAGCTCTGGATCATGCCAGCTTTTGGTGCCCGGCCCCAGTTCGACAACGATAAAGAACTAAACTTCTATGGTGATTCCATGTGGCCGGCCATTGTGGACATATGCCTGCCCTTTGGGATCTTCTACCGAATGCATGCAGTGGCCAGCTTGCTGGAGGTCTACATCATGTCCTAAAGAACTCTACCGCAAGGAAGACGGAATCCTCCTCAGCCAACCCACCTCCTTCCTACCCCCGGGCTGGGAGACTGCCCAGATCTCCCCAGGGGTCTCTAGTACTGCTTGAATCACGTCCCCTTGCAGTGTTGGGACATTTCTCCACTGTTAGTGAAGATCATCCAAACATAGTCCAGATTTTATTTTTGTTACTTGTGCGTGGATGTGCATGTGTGTGTTTCAAGTTCTTAAAGCTTAAAAGAAAAAAGGGAAAAAGAGGAAGGTTTCCAGAGCAGAATCATGGTAATTACCCATAGTTCATGCCAAGAGACTCTTCCTTCCTTCCTGCAACCCTGATCCAGCCTGTCCACTCCATGCCACTGATTTACTCTCCAGTGGGTGCTCAGCACCTTTGGAGGGTCAATGCCTGCCTGCAAACAGGCCCAATCCTGCCTGCACTCAGAGACCCAGTAGGTACAATGGGCTAACTCAGGCGTGGAAGGCAAAGAAAGGGAAACCACTCCAACTTCCGCTATGGCCAGTCAGAAACCAGTCCCCTGTAGAGATGTGAAAAATAAACTGGTGAGTACCAAAGGCTTTGGGAAACGTTTTATACCTGTTCACTGTACTGCCCATTTATGTTGGCCCTCCTGACCCTTCCCTGTATCAGCCCCTGCTGTTTTTCTTCCTCTTCAGTGAGGCATTACTGCTGATGAGCAGGTTTGTGTGCTGCAGCCTCCTCTCTCAGAAGGACACATAGTCCCTATGGAAGGGCTGTCCATGCGGTCATGGGCTGGCCCTGACAAGGGATCATTTTAAGCACACTTTTTCCCCAATTTTCCTGAATCAAGGCTCAAGAGCCATAAAGACCATATAGGCAATACGGTCTGGGGAACGATCAGGAGATCTGTTTTTCTTTTTTTAATAGATTGTGATTTTTTTTTTAATATATGAACATTTTTGTACACAAAATTATTTATTGATTTTTCACTGTAACACTGAACGCATGCAGGGGCCTTCAGTGCCATATGATACAGACATCAGTACAATGCTACAACCTCTCATTTGATCTCCCATGCCCTTAAAGTACATTTGCACTGCACCCTCAAGACCGTGCAAGCTTCAAGGCTGTGAGTACAGCCTCAGCATCCAGGCAGTCACGACACATATAGCGCAGAAGAGGGTCCCAGCACAAGTTTCTGGGTGCTTGCAACTCTCCATAAACTGCTATATGGCTATAAGGGCTTTCAGAGCAGGACTCCTGGGCTGCCGGTGGCAGAAACGGGCCCTCTGCTGTATTCAGAGTCAAATCGGAGCCTCAGAAAGCCCATGCTGCCTAATGACACTAGGCCGGGAGGGTGCGTGCCAAAATGGCACAACTCGCCTTCGTCTGTACCCCGAGACATCAATGGTTATTGTTCAAATAAAGAACACTGCAGATGTGTCAAAAATCAACAAGCCTTTTTGCATGGACGTGTGTGTATCTGCCTAAGAAAAGAATAAACGGAAATCACAATACTTGCAATTGAGTGAGATGATTTTTCTTTCAAGAGCCCAGATTATACACACTGCGCTTGGTCTGCCAACCCAGGCTCACACATTTCAAACCACTTTCCCCTTCAAACCTAGCGCTCTAATCCAGAAAGGAATGGTATCTCTGGCTTGTGTGACACCAGCCTGACAACTTCACCCGTTACACCTGCCTGCCTGCAGCCTTTCTCTGAGGCTGGTAGATGGGGCACACCCTGGTTTCCCCTGCTCCTGGGCAAGGCACTGATCCAGCACCTCTGAGGTGGTCAGTCCTTCCCTTTGCGAGCCTGGGAACAGCCAGGCAGCCTCTCCCAGCCTCATCAACCTGCCAAAGGCCTGCCTCTTTTTTTTTTTTTTTAATGCATTAATCTAATAGAGATACAATCTTTCTCTAGGAACTTCACCTTTCAGAAAACAAAAGTGTTATTATTTTAACTGCAGGAACCACAGGTTATGTCAGAGAAGAGACGTAAATGGTGCACAGACGTCAGTCTTGCGTACATCCCTACATTCTTTTACTCCAAGCCATTGAGCTCTGAGGGGGGAGCAGAAAATATTTCATCACCTGCTTTATTCCAGGGGGGCACACTGGGTTTCCCCCTTTACACCCTTTCCAGTGCCTGGACCTAGGTTCCCAGGCCTGGACACACCAAGCTAGCCGGGGCTGAGTTGGAACTGCTCTCATGTTCTACCCCAGAGACCAGGAAGGGTAGGGGCGTTTCTGGGGTTAAATGCACTCAGGACAGATGTGAGGACAACCCCAAGCTGCTCCGATGCCAATCATAATCCCAAAACAACCACTCCAGGCTGCTCATTCAGCAGGTTGGAACTCAAACATCCCACCATGAGTCATCATTTTTGGTATAAAACAAGACTGTCTAGGGTCACCGTGATCTCTGCAATCGCCCCTTGCTGACCTGAGATGTCTCCCAGCTGCAACCGCAGGGAGCGCAGGGGTTTACAAGCGAGGCCCTGTCTCATTCTGCCTCCCAGCCATCTACTAGTGTCTTGGGAGAGGCGGCAAATAAGGAGATGGCCAATGAACCCTATTTATATACCCAAGAAGGCAGATAGAGGGAAAGTCAGTCCATGCAAGTCCAATCAGCAAAAAAACAAACCCTAAGAAAACCCCCCTGGAAGCATGGGCCCTGCTGTGTGCTTGAGGATTGTCTTCCCAGAATGTATTAGCTCACGGTCAGCTAGCACGTGAAGGGATTATCTCTGAGGCTGATGGAGATCAGCCAGACCTCCCTGCGCAACTCCTCGGGCCCAGCCAACTTCCCAGGCTTGTTACTCAAAGCCACATGCACCCCAGAAGCAGGTGCTGCCACGTCTCCGTTGCACCAAGGCGGGCCCTTCCCTGGGAGCCAGCAGTGCAAGGTGACGCAGCCAACCTGCTGCTGGCTCCTCTATCGTTACCTCCTCAACTACTGACTTGCAGTACACCTCCTTGCAGCGCAATTAAAGAGGTGATGTCTTTCTCTGATGGAGGGTTTTATAGGAGGAGAAAATACAGCCCAAATGCAGAGTACCTGAGTAAAATGAAGGGGTCCTGTTACCCCTAAGGGCCGCTCTGCTCTTCGTACACAGGTCTTTGTAGCAGATGTCTGCGGAATAGTACTGCTGTTATCGCCATCTTCCACATTTGGAAGCAGGGAAACTGAGGCACAGGAGTCAGGAGAACAGAAAGCCTATGTCAGAGCAGAGAACAAGGTGAGCCCCAAGGCCTTAGACAGCATCTGACTGACTGGTCCTGCTGCGACTACATCAGTTCTAGAGCCGAGCTCAGACCTGCATTAGGGGACGGGGGCACGAATGTGTCTTGCAGCGACTGAGCGGCAGCAGCTGCTGCAAACGAAGAGCTATGAGAAACCACAGGACCACTGGGGCTCCAGTGTCTTCTGAGGGACTCCCAGACTTGCTCACTTTGGTGTAAAAGCCACCTTGGCCTTCCGAGCTGAGCACCTGCTGCGTGGCAGGGGTTTGCTGGGAGTGCTAAACCCATGAGGGAGCCTGGAGTTAGGGATCCAGCTCTGGCCAAGCCCCCAGGTGCCACAGTCACCATAGGAGCATGGAAAAGGTCCCAGTCCAGGCCTCGACCCAAGCCACGTGGTGCCGGCGCCAAGGCCTTCGCAGAGAGAGCAGCGAGGAGGGCGTGAGTCAAAGAGTAGATCAGAAATCACCGCTCAGAAAAGAAGCGGGGAAGACCATATCCAAGGCCAGAACTGAGTCACCATCCCATCCCTGCCAGGGTTTTGCATCCCTTCCTCTGCTTCTTAATCATGTTATTTGAGGGTGAGTTTTGTTTTATTAAAGAAAAAAGTAATAATAATAAGCCTTTTATCTGAGTGATTTGCTCTGAGGTGTGTCAGAGACAGGGGAGGGATCGGAGTTAATTATTACCTGTCAATGCAGCAGCTGGAAAGTGGATGTGTCGAGAAGGTCATGGGGCTGGGGAGAGGGCAGGCTTCACCGCACGAGGCAAAGGGCAGTCCATGAAGCTCTTCAGTTTGCTGGGAGCCTGGGCAGAAGTTGATGGAGGGGCACTTCCCAGGGAACAATGGCAGGCCCAGATGGTGAGGAGCAACTCAACGCCACCAAGAGGTCGAAGCGACCTCCACAGAGGGCCAACGGGGAGAATGCAGAGCCGTGCTTCGCACGGGGAGCTACCACACGCTGGCTGCCTGCGCTCGGCCCCACTGAGCCCATCCGCTCCCCTCCGTGTGTGGACGGAGACAGGGCGGTAGGAACAGCTCACATCGGATGAGGCTGCCCTTCACCATCACCGTGCAGCCCCCACAGGGCGCCCGCTCCCTGGCCCCGCGGGAGACGTCATCAGCTGGTTATCGGCAGCAGGGAAGGAAGGGCGTGGGCTGGCCGGGGAGCCTCGTGGCAGACAGCATTCCTCAGAAGGCCTTTGGGCAAACACGGCAGCTGGGCACAAACCACCTTCCGCCTCAGCTCCTGTTTACAGATCCGCTTAGCCCAGCCTGGGTGTTATTACTGCTAAGTGCACAGATAATGCCATTAATGAGCACACTGCCGATAGCGGAGGGGCAAACAGCCTTCCTGCCATGGAGCAGCTTTCCATCAGCCTCAGAGCAAAGGCAGCTTCTCCAGACCAGAACAGGGCAGTGATTTGCACTACCTGGATTGACGTAGTTGATCTAGTTAGTTCAACCCATCCTCTCCTTTTCTGCCCCTCTCCTGGGGCTTGCTGTGTGTCTTTTGCTTAACGATTACTTCTCTTGGATAAACTTATGTCAATATGTTCCAAGTTAAGCAGCGCACTTCTCCAACGTGAAGGCCACGCGGGAGCCTTCACGTGCGGGAGTAGCTAGCGTCCTGGGGCTTTACAGCTCCTCTGGGTTAATCTCAGCTTCAAAATCAGAAGACAGCAAGTCAGGCTAAGAAGGATGCCTAGACTTTGCAGCCAATATGCACAGGGCCACTGGCAAAACCACTGAGGCACACAGTTTTATTTCAGGCCCGTCTTTAAAGGAAGGACCTCAGATTTCACCCAAACTTCTTTCCCCCAGGATATATTCAGACTCCTGGCCTCCCTTTCCCAGCTTTACACAGTCATCTCAATTTTGGGCCAAGTACCCTGAAAACAGCCAGTTTTGTTAACATCTCACATGTAAATCGTTGGTTTTGTTCAACAAAGAGGCCACTAAATAGCACCTGAGGATCCCAGTTCCCTGCTAAGCTCTAAAACTGGGTCATGAGAAGAGCCAGGCACCCAAAGAAGAGCCCAACTGCACACAGAAGATCCCAGAGCGGTAAAGCAAGGCACAAGGACACGAGTCTCCGAGCAGGCTACTGGGCAGCTGCTGATGCTTTAGGGAAGGCAGAACAAATCTAACTGTGGGTAGTCATGAAACAACCTGCCCAGACCAAAATAGCTTGGCTTCACCATGTCGGTGCAAGGCCTCAGTCAGACATTAAGTGTGACGGGTTTGCTGATTAGACATTAAACGTGACAGCTGCACCAGCACGCACCGGGAGCTCGCACCCCAGGAGCAAAGGGCTTCCTGCTCTTTGTTGTCCGTCCCTTTCGTCACATCCCGCCGCATGATAACCTCTGACCCCCGCCTTCGCACTCCTCCAGTCCTTCCTCTCCCTATCAGTTTCTTGTGAAGTGTTTCGTGGCTCTGAACTCCTAACTCACATCTTTGCCAGCTACAAGAAGCCCAGAGCCCAGGGCTTCATCCCAGGGAACGCAAACAGCTTCTCCCCAGCACCTTCTGGGCTTACCAGCTCAGCTAAAACTGTCAAACTCTTGATTCCCAGCCACAAAACGAGAGATCAGCTCACCACACTGTCCCAGGCAGAAGTCAGCTCACCCTGCAGCAGGAACAGGGACAGCACAGCTCAGCCCCAGAGCGCCCCAGACCCCATGCAGCCACAAGGTTTGCACATCAGCATCTGGCTCCAAAAAGTCATCATTAACAGGTCATAGCTCCCAACCTCAAGAGGAGCAGCCTCTCTCCAAGACGACTGATGTGGTCCCTGTGCCCAAGGCTGGACTGGGAGTCTGGGCTTTCACATCAGTTTGGGCATCTCTCACTAGCGCCTGCGGGGATCCACGTTTCCACCTTCTCCTTCACTCAGTGCCGGGCACTTTGGGGACCCGATTTCTGGCTGTCTCATTGCCCAGAAACCTTCAGCACGGGAGCTCCCACCACACTGCCCTGTCCCCAAGACCAAACACAAATGGGACTGCTCTTCCCCGTTTCCAGGTCACAATCCCACTGCCAACAGCTAGCAGCCCCCCTGGCCTTAACGTGGGGACAAAGGGTGATCACAATCATCCTGCAACCCATCCCATTTCACTGGCACAGAAAAACTGGCTCTGAATGCAGACGCTCATTTCAGGCTCCAGATAAGACGTCTCCTCCAGGCCAGGCCAGGCCAGGCAAAAGAAAATCAAAAACGCACGATGTAGGGGCTCATATTGAGAAAAACATCGTAGGGAACTACCTAAAATCAGGGCAGTGGCAAACTCAAGTGGATTGTAGCCAAAGTAGCTGGGCTGAGCACCCCCAGCTCTGCTCCCCAGAACAAGCCCACACCAGATTAGTCTTCAACTTGCTCGAGCCACGGCACAAATTAGTCACCAAGGCTTGTGGTTTTACCAGTTGGCACATCCTGTGCCAAGGCCATTGACATGGGGCAACCCAGCAGGTGTATAAAGGAGTCATTTCCCATTGGCTGTCCTTAGTGGAGCTAAGAGCGTCTCACTGACTAATTAATATAATGACAATAATAGACCCAAAGTAAACAGGGTGGGAAAAAAAAAAATCAATGGACTCAGAGCAGAGGCCACATTCAGGAGGGAGCAGTCCTTCTGCCAGCGCCCCGGTCCCGCAGAGAGACTCGCACACATCCCAGTGGCCTCTGAGCAGGTAATTTTAGCCCTGGCTGCAAACGAGGCTGCACCGGCAGCTGCTCCCACTTGGCAGGCAGCGGCACAGAGGTAAGGGCTGGGACTTGGCTGCTCTCAGCAGCTCCCGACTCCGGGGTCGAGGGGTTGGGTCCAAAGCAGGTGGCTGCTGCACGCGACTTTGTCTGGGCATTTGGGGGACCTCCTGCTGCAGCTCGGACGCGATTCAGTCTGGTCCTTCTGATTTCATGGCCTCTCTCTTCCCAGGGCAGGGTGGTTACAGCCCTAAGAGAGGGGTGGGCATTTGCTCCTGTCCTGCCACAGCAGGAGAGTTTTGGAGCTGAAAGAGGAAGAGTTTAGGATCACCTCTACTGATAAAAGCGCAGTTTGAATCTCCACAGATCAAAGGGAAGAGGAAAGCGCTGAGATTTGACCCCTCTCAGATAGTCTGTTTCACCCCCAAATCCTTAAGACAACTACATACCATTCCCCCCCCACCAACGCATCTCTCCTGCAAAGGGGTCTGCTTTCACTCCAGCTACTCCCCGCCACAGCCAGACTCACGTTGCTCCCTGGAGAGAAACAGCCTTTACCATATACTGAACCTGTAGCAAAGCCAGTCTTGCCTAATCACTATATGCAAGCAAGGAGATGTCCCTGTCCTGGGGAACATGGTCCTACCATGATTTTTCAAAAAGTTGGAATAGAAAAGTTCCCAGGATCTGTATGTTTTATCCGCGCCAAACTCTAAACTTCTGTGCCAGGACACTCATGGCTCTGTGCTTTTCTGAACACCGTACTACAAGTAGAAAAAGAAAGCAAGCCAGGCATACACTCTGCCCCGTTCTCAGCCCTCATGGGTGGGAAGCTGGGCCTTTTCCTATAATCTTGGATCAACATTTACAGACCTTTTTTTTCCTCTCCCCAGCTCTGTCACAATCTGTGTGACCGTACCCAGGAGAGCAGCATAAAATCACACAGCCTAGAAACACAAGGAAGAAGTCAGATCCATCTCCCAAAACCAAACAGCTCTGAGTTTTAGTGCAGGTCTGAGCTTGTTCTGCTTTTCCAGCTAATCCTTACAGCAACAAAAGAAAAGGGCAAAATCTGAATCTAGGGCTGTAAGCAGAGGAGGCACGAAAGGTTCAAATGGGAACAGTTTGGGTACCTCTGCTGCCAACAGCTCCGAGTACTGACAGGGCAAGGCAGAGAGATCAAATATCCATTTTCATGTAGGCTTCTCAGGACAGATTTAGGCAAAAGGGTTTTTCCTCAGCGCCCTGCAGTGACCCTGTCCAGAGGGACATTTTTAATACCTAACCTGGGCCCAACACCAACCTCTTTTCCCCCTCATCCAGCTTCTGGAGAGGGAAGAAGCTGCACAGCAGCCAAGAGAGGCTCTAAACAAGCAAAGCCTTCAAAGGACCATTTTTGTCTTGTGCTCAAGGCAAGCCCTGAAAAAGTCCAAGATGCAGGAGGCCAAGGCCTCCAAACTCACCACACAAGTGGCTTTTATAACAGAGCACAAAACTTCCCAGCATGTTCCCCACCATCCTCATACATATTAACCCCCTCTTTGTTCAATGTGGCAGGTGAGCCCCAGGCAGACGAGCCATGTTGGCCAACAAAGTCTCAAGGCAAAAGCCCTGCCATCACTGCAACCACAGGCCAGCCTCAGCTGCACCAGACAACTCCACAATCCACTATGAAAAGTCCTGGCTGTACCGTCACTGCTCTTCACTGGTGCAGAGGGACAGGCAGGCTCAGAAAGCTGGGCAGCTCTTCTCGGGGTTGCTGGCCATGAACGTGGTGTTTCTGGGCAGCGCCTTCCTCAGCAGCATGATTTTCAACCACGTGGCCATCACGCTGGCAGATGTCTGGATCCTACTCTCCATCCTCAAGGTCTTGTGCCTGTGCTGGATTATCTACTACTTGCTGGGCACCAGCCGGCAACCACATGCAGTGCTGCAACGGGACTCCCACGCCGGGTCGATCTGGCTTAGGGGTAAGTCCTGCTTTTGATATATCATTTCATGCCTTCTCCCTTTCTCCCAGTGCTTGGAAGATAAGGAAATCCTTCCCCCACTACTGAAAGAGCTAGTACTCATGGAAGATGTAAGTAGGGCACTGGGAATCTCCCAGGGTCCCTGCAAGCTTGTGGTATGAGGTTGGGGGGAAGACAGGGGCATAGCTGATGCTACAGAGAGGGACCACAGCAGCCAGCAAGGCCTCGAGCTTGGTTTCCCTTCAGGCTCCTGGGCAAATCTTTCCCTGTGATCTCTCCCCAAAGCACAATGGAGACATCTCCCACCTGCAGCACAGCAACTGAGCGTGGTGGGAGAGATGTAGGGAAGGTTTTACGAATGACCCACTCCACACCTCAGTCAGTCAGTTGGAGAGCTGGGGCAGTACCAGGAGTGTTGTTTTGCTAAGGTTCCCCAATACTTAAACCCACGGGGGAAATAAAAAGGGAGAAAAACAAGAGCTATGATGTGCCGGTGAGAAGCCCTGGACTCCTGCATCCCGCAAGAGCAGAGGGTGGATTCAAGGCAGCCAGAGTGACCCCAAATCCCACATTCAGCCCACCACTTTGCAAAGCAAGCAGAGAACCACCTCATTTACCCTCCCATTATGTCAGCAGCCCTGTGCTGCCCTCGCCCTTGTTTAATATCACAGCAGTCCCATTTCCAGGGGAAGATCCCTGCCCAGTCCAGTGACAGCCAGGCTTTCCTTGGAGATCTTCCATCAGGTGTTCACCACAGCTGCCCCGCTTTGTGAAATGATGTTTCTCTAAACTGCCCGGCCTCTGGTCTATTAGGGAGTTTCTAATTAGCACCTAGTCTTATTACAGTCTCCATTAAGCATAGAGAACTAAGGGGAAGACAACTGCAAGATACTTCACTACCTAAGCTGCAGAATGGTGTCAAAACAGAAACAAAGAAACAGCAAGAAGGGCCTCATCTTCCCCAGAGTGGTGCTGCTGAGACCTTCAGCCAGGCCTGCATACATTTCTGACCTCCTCCAGTAAGGCAGAAACCACCATCTGCTGTTAGCTTTCCTGCATCACCCCAGACTGTGCAGAAAGGACTGAAAACCATCTTCCAACGTTGTATCCGAGCACAGGAAAATGCCTTGCATTGTCTCAACACCTTAAACAAACCAGTCAAAGTATCTAACCAAATTCAGGAATCAGGCTCTCCTTTCTCCCCTTCTCTCAAAATTGTGAGACTTCCAAACTGGAAGGCCTTCAGCTCCACCCAAATCTAAGAGGCACAAGGTCTCAAAACCCAAGCTAGGATCAGATGCTCCACAGACATGTCTTATTTACTGGCGCTTTTGTTGTTGTCCAGGATCACTACTGCTGTTCGGTGCTTTCAGCGTCCTCCTGAACGTCTTTGAGATTGGCTACAGCGTAGTTCACATCCAGTGCAAATCCCAGGTGCAGCTTGTGTTTCCCTGCATCGAAATCATTTTTGTTAGCACCCAGGTACTGCACGTTACTCTTCTGGGAATCCGCTTGTTCCTTCTGTCCCATCACTAGGAGGCCACGGGGTGGGAGCAAGTGGGGAAGTGCGTACACATAAGGCAGTCTCACAAAGACATATCATGCACCATTTCAAGTATCAAAGAAATAAGATTTTGAAATAAACAGCTCTAGCGATACAAGACGTACTGTTGGCTCTAGAGGAGTTTGTTCTGCAACACTGAAGTAGGGGGAGAGAGAGAGAGGAGAGGACGTTCATAAATTTGGCCAAAGAGATATCTTTGCACTAGTCTCCCTACATAGATCCAGCCTTTCTCTACCTGTAATTACACCCCTGCACAAAACCATGACATAAATATC